GGAGGGTGGGGAGGACGAGGGCTTGTGCCTGCCCCGCGTCTCTCAGGGGCTGGAGGTGGGACCCCAGGGCCCCCCACCCCAATGCCACACCCAGCTGGGCCTCTAACAAATGCAGGGAGGCCCCTGGGAAGCCACCGTGAAGCGAAGGTTGTCGCCCGTGTGGGTGTGGATGGAGGAGCTGATGGGCGCACCTAAGGGGCCCGGAGGGGCACGCTCACAGCAGGGTGGGGGTGGGGAGTGAGTCTGGAGCGTCAGTCGCCCGCTGGAGGGGACTGTTGAGCAGCCTGGGTGCTGGGCGTCTGTCTCCAAGGGCCTGAGGGGACACGTCCTCCCTCCCTTGCCACGGAACCATGCAAGGGAGCCCTGCCAGCAGCCACTGACCCTGCACTTGGGTTCAAGTCCTTCCAGGAAGTCCAGGGAATCAGGAGTCAGACAGAAGGACCAGCCTGACCTTCGGGGGCTCAGGGCACGCACAGCAGCCCCGCCGGGCGGGGGACAGGGGGGGGAGTCTCAGCTCCCTTTGCTCCTCCACTGGCTGCCAGAGGCCGAGGCTGCCCCTTCTGAGTGGCAGAAGGGCCAGACCAGGGTGGGGCCCACTGAGCAGGGGGCAGGTGGGTGCAAAGGGCCTGAGTGGCCACGGCCTGGCCTGCTGAGGGCTGGAGACGTGGGGGGCCTCCGCCAGGGCCCCGCCCTGCCCCCACTGCAGCCTTGACCCTCACCCCTCAGAGGACACGGCCTCCCGTCACACACACACTCGGGTACCCACACTCATACACACACCGCCGCAAACACTCGTACACTTACACAGTTACACACTCATACACAACGCACACACACATACACACATACACATTCATACACAAACTTATACACATTCACACTCACATGCAAAACACACACACACTCATATACACCTGCACACTCGTACACACATGCACACCCTCACATATGCGGTCTGTCCAGAAAAAATCCAGCATTGCTAATGTAACAGGAACAATTTGCACAACATTGATGTCACCTGGCACCAAGGAGAGTGGACTGGGATGCGCAGGTAAGAACAGTGATGACTTCACTGTACTAGTCAGTGAGGGCTGTAAACGCCGTTGAGTGAGTTTTTGTACTGTGTGGTTGTCGAATTCAAGATGACTGAATGAGTAGCACAATAAATCTGCCTCAGATCTTGAATTAAGCTTGAACATTCTTCCACTGAAACTATTTGGATGATTCAGAAGTCCCCAGCTACAGACAACCGATGATTGGTGGCTTCATCGGGACAATGTGCCCACTCACGCATCACGTCTCTTGCAGAGTGAAACATCAAATGTTTTTTTTGGTGAAACATCAAATCGCCCAGGTGATCAGCCCTCCTACAGCCCAGATTTGGCGCCCTGGGACTCCCAGCTTTTCCCAAAGCTAAAATCAGACCATTGATGGTCTGAGATTTTAGATCATCGATGCTAAGAAGATTTCAGACCATCAGTGAGATTCAGGAAAATACAACGGGGCAGCTGATGGTGACTGAGAGAACTGTGTGAGGTCCCAAGATGTCTACATGGAAGGGGACTGAGGCGTCATTGTCCTATGTACGAGGGACTCACCTGCTCTGGGTGCCAGCGTAGGGTACAGGAGACATGGGAGGTGAAAGGCGAGGCCGGCGGGGGGTGCCTCACGGCCTCCCAAGGGGCGAGGAGAAAAGCCACCAAAAAGCTCTCCACTCCTGGAGACAAGCACATCCCCGTCGGGGTTGCCACCCCCCAGGCAGACATACTGGACACCCCACGGGTTTGCCCAGCAGACTCAGCAACAGCAAGGGCTGGACGGCAGGTCCTCTGGAGGGCAGGGGCCGCCGAATGTCACCTGCACCTTTGCTCCAGAAAGTCACTCAGGGTGGGATGGCGCAGGGCCTCCCCACCACATGGTGCAGTGCACGGCGGGTGCCCACCTGCGGTCCCCTGGCTGTGCCTGCTCTGCACTTGGCTCCACCGAGAAGCGCGGCCCCACGAGCCCAGCCCACAGGAAGCCGCTGCAGGGCCAGCAGAGGTCTGTGTGTCTGGGCGGTCTCCTCCCCAGCATGGTGGGGACCAGGAGGCCAGGAGGCCAGGGGCCCAGGGGCTCTCTGGAAACTGGAGACTCATCCCCCACGCCCAGCGGTTGCGTTCTGGCGGGCAGTCACAAGAAGTGGGGACACGGGGACTCAATGTGCTGGACTGGACAAAATTGGAACAAAATTGGAAGGCATGACTGGACAGAAAGAGACTGCATGGACGGACGGGCGGACTCCCAGGAAGAGAAAGCAGAGGGGAGGGGACCTGGGGAAGACACACCACAAGCTGGGAGCCATGCCCCAGACACAGGAAGTGCAGGGAGCCCCCAGAGAGGTGGGCGCACAGCAGCCACGGCACGGGGGCCCCAGGAAGGGAGGCTGCTGGGCCAAGGGAAACGCAGGGGTTGCAGGGACAGGTGACGAGGTCAGAACAGGACAACCGAGTCAGTAACCCTGCTCCCAGGGGCCTCCCAGCCCGGTCGGCTCCGATTCCGGCCCACAGAGCCGACCCGAAGGCAGAGTCAGGAGGCCATCTAGCGGCGGGGCCCGGTGGGGCAGCAGGGGCCGCGGAGGCGCCTCCTGGGGGTGGGGGCAGGAGGCAGGCAGCCACCTGTGCTCAGCAGGGATGCTGGTGAGCGATGGAGGGGCGGGGGAAGGGCGTGGGGACCCCAGCAAATTAGAAAAGGGTCCCAAGGGTGACCTAGGGTGCCTGGCCAGGTCAGGCAGAGGTGGGGCTTGGGGCCTCTGGCAGGCCCCTCTGGAAAGGGAGGGAGCCAGCTGGTGTCTGGAGTCCCAGGAAGTGGGAGGGGTGGGGAAGGGAGAGGAAGGGGCTCCCTTATCCAGGTGCCTCACCAGTGCCCTTGTGGCCAAAGCAATAAATAGAAACCGCGGTGGAGTTTTGCCCAGACTCCCCGCCCCCACCCACCCAGGATGGTGGGGGCTGGGGGTGGGGCGGGGAGTCCTCAGACACAGTGGTCAGGGGCAGGGCTTTCAGTGCACCCTTATTTCATTCCTGAGGATTTCCAGACCCCAGGCCAAGAGCAGCGCCTTGCCGGGCGCCCCAAGCCGGGTTCTGGCTCCCCGCACCGCGCACAGGCCCCTGCCGGCGTGGCTGGTCTGAAGTCCCTGCACGCGCAGGTCGCCTGCCCGGGGACACATACCTCCCCTCTGCCTCTGTGCACCAGCGGCAGCACCGGGTCCCTGGCCTGGGGCTGGGCTGGTCAGGGAGGGAGAGTGAAAAAGTTGGGGGGAGGGAAGGGACTGGGGCCAGGCCAGACGCAGGGCTGCGGCAGGGGAGGGTGAGCCAAAGGCCGGGGGTCCCCAGAGCCCCATCTCTGCGCGCTGAGCCCCATACAGGCCGGTCCTCCTGGGTCCCGGCCCCTGGCAGGCCTCGGGGCTGCTTACCCTCCGTGCTCAGGGTGGGTGTTCTTCCCGGCACTTCGATTCACCACTCACAGGTCAGAAAAAGCTGGAAAGGTGGGGTGGGAAGCTGGGGTCAACCTGGGGGGCACTCGGGCAAGGCCCGGCTACATGGCTCTCAGCAGGTCCCCTTCCTCACCGGCACCAAAGCGGTCGTCTGCCAGCGGGCCTGCCTGGGCGGCTTTGCAGGTCCCATTGTGCCGCGGCCCCAGCTTCAGACCTGGCCTCTCCGGCTGCATGCGGTGGGGCTGGGTCCAGGGACAGCCCTTAGCGCCACCAGGGGACAGTGAAGGGCCCGCTGTCTCAGGGCCAGCATTTCCACCCCACGCAGAGGGCCCTGACTCAGTGACTTATTCCAGAACAATTCCCGTGAGAGGGGAGGGCATGTCCTGTGGAGTGGGGGGGGGGGGCTAGTTTTATTTTTCTGCTTTCATGGGACTTTTTCTCTGAAAGGTGCATGGGGGTGAGAACAGCAGTGTTGCCAGCTCTGACTGCCAGGCCCTCGTCTGTCTGTCCGTGCAGATTCCCCTTCTGGCCCCGGCGCCGGCTCCCCTGCAGGGCTCCACGGAGAGCCAGTGCCTATGACCTGGAGGAAGCCTGAACCCCACACTCTGCTCGTCCCTGGCCTGCACTTTGCTCAGATCGATCGATCGTGGGGGTGGCGTGTGCAGGGCCCGCTCCCCGCTGCCCCCAGGCACCGTGGGCCTCTGCCCACCTCACCCCGGGCACCAGCCCACACCCCTCCCCCTGCATTTCTGCAGGCTGGGTGCAGCGCCCAGACCCTCGGGGCCCAGACTCGGGTCACTGTACCAGCTCCTGAGCACACCACAGCCAGAGGGTTAAAAATGGTGCATTCGCTGAAATGCAGGAGAGGGGCCATCTGCCCGAGTTTTCCTGGGGCCCTGAGAGCACTTTGAGTGTCAGGGCTCTCGGTCGTGGTCAGGAAGGACACCCCTCTGTCCAAGGACACTCCGAGACACTCTGTGTGGAGCAGGCAGGCAGACCCGGGCTGCACGCTCCAGTCTTGGGGAAAATAAAAACATTTACATAAGACCCGGGCAGCTCTGCCTCTCCGACTGGGGGGGAAAAGACTTGTCTGGTGGTCCAAGCTGGTTCAGGGGTCAGGTTGGGTGGGGGGGTGTCTAGTCTGGCCTTTAAAAACTTAAGTTGGTTTTAACTGAAGCACCTACCATTCTGGAGGCAGTGGAGGGGGAATGGGGAGACCTGCAGAAAGCGGGGTGCCGGCTGGCAGTCCAGGCACCGGCCGCCTCCCTCACACCCACCCTCCTCTCTGGCAGAGGGTTTTTTTTCCCCCTCCTTTTAACTCGGAGCCTTCAGGTGAAAATAAAGCACCAGCAGCCACAGAAAAAAAAATTCTAGTCTTTTTTAGGGTTAACATCAGAAGAGAAAGAAGCTTGCGTTGCTGTGGCCAATCAGATACGCCCCTGCCAGCTATAATATAGTACCGAAGGCAGGCTCCCGCACAGGCTCCCTCGGCTTGCTACCATTTAAAATCAGACTCTTTTTGTCTTTGATTGCTGTCTCCCGCCCCAACTCCGATGTGCTCCGTTATCAGCGACCAGCAGCAGCCTGCCGCTCCAGCCCCCGTCTGGGTGGGGATCGGCCGCGAGTCCCCCGCGCCGGCGGCGGCGGCGGGCAGGGTTCTATAGAAAGAGAAAGAGCCAGGCGGCGGGCGAGCGAACCAGCGAGCGAGGGAGCGAACGAGGGAGCCAGCAGCCAGCCAGCCGCCCAGCCAGCCAGCGCGCCGGCGAGCCAGGCAGGGGGAGCGCACTCGCGCACACGGACCCGCGCGGGGACGGCTGGGGAGTCGCTGGTTTCCTCGGACGCGATGCTGCTGGTGGTGAAATGCCTGCTGGTCGCGCTGGTCTCCTCGCTGCTGATGTGCTCGGGGCTGGCGTGCGGACCCGGCCGGGGGTTTGGGAAGAGGCGGCACCCCAAAAAGCTGACCCCCTTAGCCTACAAGCAGTTCATCCCCAACGTGGCGGAGAAGACCCTGGGGGCCAGTGGAAGATACGAAGGGAAGATCTCGCGGAACTCGGAGCGGTTTAAGGAACTCACCCCCAATTACAACCCTGACATAATATTTAAGGATGAGGAGAACACCGGAGCCGACCGGCTGATGACTCAGGTAGAAACCCAGCACCAGGCGTGGAATATGTCGCGAGCAAGGGGGCTCTAGGGGACCGGGCAGCTCCAGACTTAGCGTGTTTGCTCTGCGGGCGGATAGCTCCGCGACTTCACCCTGGCCTTCCCCACCCACCTGCCTGCCGGCCATCCCTCCCTCTTCCTGGAGGGAATGCAGGTGAAGGGTCCAGCTGCAGAAGTTCAGGGTGGGGGCGGGGAGGTCCACGGGAGACCTGGTCCAAGGATGGCCCTGATTTGATCGCTCCAGCTGGGATGGCCTTCACGCCGTGCCTCAGCTCTGGCTGGTCACTGGGGGAGACCTTCACTGGGGTGGGGGGGTGCGTCCGTCCTTTCCAAGTTTGGGGTGGACATGGAGGGAGGGGGAAGAAATCCCCCACAAACAAGGACTGGCTTCCAGGTCCCTGGACAGATGTAGCATCAGACGCCTGAGCTCCCAGGCTCCCTTCTCTGGGCTTCTCTCTGCCACCCACCCCCCACCTGCCGCCGCACGGCCCCGGGAGGCCCTCCCTGGGAAGAGCCCGGTGGCCTTCCGACCACAGGGCTCTAGAGGCTGGGGGCTGGTCCCTGGCCACGTCACACAGTTCTGCTGAGACTCCCTGGCGGCAGTTGTGCCCATCAGGGCGAATGTATCGATATTTCTTTAAGGATGCGCTTTCCTGCTCCCCGCCTGGTACCTGAGGGGAGGGACTTGGAACTTACTGGCGTCGCATCGGTCCAGCTTTCAACCTGCTCGCCTGGGGACTAGGGAGGGGGCTGGAGAGAGGAACCAAAGCAAACGCGCGCCTGCCCGCTCTCCCTCCCCGCTGCCGCTGGAGACCGCGGGCTGCCAGTCTCCCCGCCCAGGGTGGGCTGTCTGAAACTCCGCGCACGGAGGACTGAAGCTAGAAATGGATTTCCTGGCGAATATAGGTCAACATCCTTTTTATTGCCCTATTAAAATATTCAAGCCCTACCTTTAGGGCTAGGAGCGCGCCGCGGCAGCGCAGCTGATGGAGCAGCGCTGAAGGGGCGCAAGGGCCGGGAGGGTGGGGGTGGCGGGATCCAGCCGCCACCTCCGGGCCCTCTGCGCGCAACCAGAGCCTGGCCTGGCTGCGGAGCTGAGCCTGGACGAGGGCGGGCAGCCGGGGAGCCGGGGGAGGAGGGGAGCAGAAGACAGGGCCCTTCGCGCTCTCTCTCTCTCATCTGGCCTGACCACCTTAAATCTGGACCTCGAGTGTGGCCGCGCGCGCCGGTGCTCAGAGCGGCGCGAGCTGCGATTAACTTTGCGCAGGCCTCGGGGCGCCCAGCGCGCCGCCCGCGGCGGACAGTCCTCCAGCTGTCCGGGGCCCGGACCCCGGGTCACCCTGCTCCCCCGGGAGGGAGGGGGCCTTCTCGGGGTCTCTCGGAGCCAGGGAGCAAGAGGGAGAGGTTGGAGCAGGCGGGGGGGCGGAGACACCAGAGATCCCCGACCGGGAGGGGTCAGCATCCACCCCGGAGTGCGCGGTGCCGACGCTGGAGCGGGGCCCCGGCCTGGCCGCGGAGCTGCGAGCTCAGAGCCGCGCGCCCAGGCAGACGCATTCGGCTCCACTTACTGCGGGCCGATCGATCCCGCGGCTCCAGTTTCAGCGCACGGGGCGGGCTGCGGCCGCCCCTCCACGCGCCCTGCGCTGGCGGCCCGGGCTCCGAGCAAGGCCCCGACGGCCCGGGTCGCTGCGCGGGGGCGCGGAGGCCGGTGCCTGGGCCGGGGCGCAGCGCAGGCTCCGCTGCCTCCAGGCCTCCAGGGCCTGGGAGCCCCGCCGGGGACCCGCGGCCCAGCGCCCCGCGCCGCGCCACTCTCGCCGCCGCGTGCGCGGGCAGCATTTGAACTTCTGACCTTCTGTCAACTTCCCTCAGACGAAGAAACGAAAACAAATACTTTTTTTCCTTGGGCAGTGGCTCTTCCCTGTACCCAGGACAAAAGGACGGGGGAGGGGCAGCTACCGTAGGAGTGGGTAGGGAGAGCCAGGCCTGGATGGATCACAGCCCCCCCATAATGTCCCCCCAAATCGTCGGTGGCGAGGGGGCAGCCTGGAAGGTGCCCTTGGTTTATCCCTTCCCGTGCTTCCTTCTGCTCTGATTCCACGAGTGGGGGGGCGGGGCAGTGATTGGGGAGGCAGGTGAAGACCGTGGGTGGTGAGGGGCAGGGCTGGGGTGAAGGGGTGAAGCAGGGATCTCCTCCCAGGCCAGAGGAGGTCAGGGCTCCTCCGGGAACCCGCGCGCGCTGGCCCCTCAGTTCGGACGACCACCGGGACTCGGGGCTCAGGTGCTGTCCCTCCGCCCCCATCCCGCCGTCCCTCCGCCGCTCTGTGCGCCTCTGTCTCTCCAACGTGACTGCGGCCCGAGTCCCTCAACCATGGCAAGACCGTCCCCAGTGGAACTTTGAGAGCAGCTCTGGAACGCAGGAGCTCCTGGTTAATATTAACTCCGCGAGGGGGGAGCGCAGACTGACGCCCTGTCCCTACAGGCCGCGGATGCCCGGCGGGGTGCCGGCGGCCGGGGACTCGCAGGGGCCCGGGGGCCGCGAGGGGCTGGCCTGAGAGGGCTGCGAGGGCATCGGCCTGAGACGCCACCATGAGTAGATTTCTGGGTGCGTGGCAGCCCTGGGGCACCGCGCTCAGGTGTGGGTTTAAGGAGTGTTTTCCTGTTTTGATGGGAGGGGTCTGGTTTTCCAGAGTAGGGAAGGAGCTGTGGGGGAGTGTGCATAGGGACTGGGGGGGTCTCTTTTGAAGTTGAAGTACCCCTCCCCCGCGCTGGGGAAGCCCTTGGGCCGCGGGCAGTGAAGGTCCGGCTCCGGCGCTGGGCGCCCAGCGTCTGCGCAGACGGGGGAGGCGGCGGGAGCTCAGGCGAGGGGAACCGCTCGGCTTCCGCGACACAAAGCGGCCGAGCGGCCCCGCTGGGCTTCACGGTGGCTGCACAGAGTCGGGCTTGATTCGCGGCCCAGGACCCAGTGAACTGATGGCCCGCCCGGGCGCAGCGTGTCCTTGCAGCCGCCGGCCCAGGCCGCGCCGGGGGGCGCCGGGGAGGGCGAGGAGGCGGGGGGGGCGCGGACTTGGGCCTGCCTCAGCCTGCGTCCTCGCCTGGGTCGTCCACCTCTGGCCCAAGTGGCGCAGCTCGCGACGTAGGGGTGGTCCTGGGTCCTCCCCATCCTGCCCTCCCCGCGCCCCCTGCCATGGGGGTCGCCGCGGAGAGCTCCAAGTGCCCCCGGGAAACCGGCGCTGCGGTGGGATGGGGGCGCGGGACTCCGGGAGTGTGCGTGTCCGCTCTGTGCGCCTGCGCCGCCGGCTCCACATCCCGGCTCTTCGCTGACCCTGGTTTACTGATTGATTTTCATGTAAAACGCGTTCAGTCTTCAAGATGACCTCGCTCAGAGTCTGCCCTTCCGACTTTTTCTTTTTCTTTTTCCTTTTTTTTTTTTTTTTTTTTTTTTAAGAAAAGGGCTGTCAGGCCCAGAAACCTGCGAGCGCTGACCTGTTACCCCGGGCGCCCCTCCCCCATTTGTTGGATGTTTAACTCTACAACCGTATCACTGGGTTTTATTGCTGCCCCATACACAGGGCTTTTCCTGTGGCGCAGTCTGTCCCATCCCCTCCTGCAAGGGCGCCCCCCTCCACTCTTTAGGAAATGAGCCCCCCCCCCCCCGCGGTTATCAGGGTCCTGGATGGGGCCGCCTCTCCAGCGCAGTGCCTGCCGCCGGCAGGAGGCCAGTCCCTGCCCTCTGCGGACCTCACCTTGAAATTGTCGCCCCCCCCCCCTTGAGCCGGCCTCTCCGGGGGATGCCCCCGCGAAACATTGCCACTGCCCCCTCTTTGACATCCCGCACCCCGTAGCGGGTACGCGTCCAGAGAGTTCTGTGGGGTGGGGGTGGGGGGGCAGCCCACGACGCACACACTCGATTCAGCTGTCTTCAATGCTCCCCCCGCCCACGCGCGTTTGCCCGGGACCCCAGCTCCGCGCACCCTGGTGTGCGTCCTGCCTGTTCCTTCCCTGACTCCCCCAGGCAGCCTCCCTGTGGGTGCGTGTTGGGGGGGGGAGGTGAAGGGTGGTGTCCAGAGGGAGACTCCCCCAGGCGAAGGGCTCCCAGGCCTCAGGCTTTTTTGCTGGCTCCCCATCCCCCACCCTCCCGCCCTACCCCCTCCCTCCCTCCCTCCCTCCACCTCTGAAGTTTGCTCTTCAAACTTGCCGGACACCATTCTGCGCCTCCGCGCCGGGGCCAAGAAAACAAGAGGGGGAAGGGAACAGGTTAAGGAAAACAAGAGACACAATCAGACCACAGAAATGCCGGCAGAAAGAGTTCTGCGGGGCAGAGGAATGTGGCCGCCCAGATAAAGGCTGTTTGTGGTCCGGCCGAGGCCCGCGCAGAAAATCATAACTCGCCTGGCCGCCTTTCACTGCCGCCTCTCCCCGCCCCTCCCGCCAGGCTATCAGCTTCCCACCTCCTTCTCCACCTTAGGCTTCCTTCTCACCTCAGATAGGCACAGGGCAGGAGGGAGGGTCTGCAGATAAGGCAAGGCTTTTAGCTCTTGAAGAAGCACAGTGTGATTTGCTCGACTCCTGCAGAGTCGCACCCTGGGCCTCTCTCTGGCCTCCAGGTGAGGGAGTGCGCCCAGGGAGAAGGGCGGAGCCCCGCACAGGTGCAGGGAAAGGGGGCCTGCAGAGAGGGCTAGGGTGGGGTGGGGGGCACCTTGCGGAAGGAGGGAGGCACAGCCAGTGGTACCCCAGGTGGGTTCTCCAGCCTGTGTCTAAACACACACACCCACAGTTCGCTTGTTTCCAAAAAGTCTCATCTGCACCCCAGGCCGGGGTCAGGGCTCTGCAGGGTTAGGACTCAGAGACAGGCCCACCCCCCTGCCCCGGTCCCAGCCCGAGGCCACCTCCTCCAAGCCAACTGGGCTCCTTCCAGGCTCATTCTCCCACTTCTCTGCTCGGCCTGGGTCCTCCAGCCCGGGTCCTGGGGAGTCGTGTGGTCGGATGCCGATGTCTCCACTCCCCTCTCCCCACAGAGATGCAAAGACAAGTTAAACGCCCTGGCCATCTCCGTGATGAACCAGTGGCCCGGCGTGAAGCTGCGGGTGACCGAGGGCTGGGACGAGGATGGCCACCACTCAGAGGAGTCACTGCACTACGAGGGCCGCGCCGTGGACATCACCACGTCCGACCGAGACCGCAGCAAGTACGGCATGCTGGCGCGCCTGGCGGTGGAGGCCGGCTTCGACTGGGTGTACTACGAGTCCAAAGCCCACATCCACTGCTCCGTGAAAGCAGGTGAGTGCCAGAGGCCTTCCCACAGCCGCCCGCCTGCCACACACCCACGGGGTGGCACCTGTGTGCCCCTTGGCTTGATTGGAAGCAAAGTCAAAAAATGGGGAGGGGCACTGAGGGCCAGCGAAGGGAAGAAGGTGGACGAGGATGGACCATGTTTCACATCCTGTGAGGCTCGCCCCTGGCCAGGAATCGCACCCGACCCTCAACGCCTGAGGCCCTGTGAGCCCCATGCCCAGGGCATATGGCCTCCTGAGCCATGCCCACCCCCACCCCACCCCCCTCCGTTTCCGGAACCCCACTGCAGGTGGTGGAGACAGGGAAGAAAGATGGGGGCGCTGTCCTGTTGCAAGACTGCAGCCCCTGTGGTCAGCCAGGTCTGGCCTCAGCCTCCCTTTCATTCAGGGCTAAAGCATCAGCGGCCCCACCAGTCCCCCGCCCCCCCCTCCTGCCTGCCCCAGAACAGGAGGTTCTGTCCAGGACCTAAACCCGGTCGCCTTGCCCCTCCCCATGTGCGCCTGTGGATTCTAAACTCACTTAACTCCCTGGCTAAGCCTTTGGGGAGAGGCCTGGTAGGAGGTAATAAACCCAGCAGTCGCCACTTCCAACATCTGGACGCCGCAAGCCCAGAAGCCCCTGCCCCGCTCGTTAGGAGCCAGCTGGGCTGCCCTGCTGCCGCGGGCAGGGCCAGGAAAGCGGAGGCTGTAGCTGCGGCCAGGCCATCCCGCCGCGCGCGCGCCCGCGCGCTATTTCCCTGGGCCTGCAACGCCGCATGCGGTCGCTGGCGAGGAATCGCTCTGAAAGGAAGGCTTTACGCCCACACGCGCGAATATCTCAACTCGCCGACTGTTTGCGCCACGTCTCGGTCTCAGCATAAGTTGGCGCATTTAGCAAAACAGTTCACACTGAATTCCGGAGGAATCGTGTCTCCCCCCCCACTCCCCCAGTTTTGCCTATTTGCCTTCTAAACTGTATTTTGGTAGCAGATGTAAGTAGAAAAACACTTTTTAAAGTGTCAAGACACACTTCGTAGATAAAGAAAATAGTGGCTGCCTTACACAGCAGAAAGAAAAGGAGTGTGGGGGACGGTGGGGAAGGACTCTCAGTTTTGGAGAAGAGAAGGAGGCGCCCCCGCTTCGCGCGTCTCTGCCAGGGACCGGCTTCTCGCTCCCCCCCACCCCGCGCCCCTGCCCCGTAACTGGGAGCGCCCTTCCCCGCACCTTGCGACTGTGCTCGAGTGTGCGCGGTCACTCTGGGGCCACCCCTGTCCGCGGGGTCGCCCTTGGGGGGGGGTGCCCCTGGCGGGGTGGGGTCCCTAGAGGTCTCTTCGCAAATGAGCAGCGGTAATCCGGCCCCAGGACCCTTCGGGGGAGCAGACCCCGGCCGCACAGAGCTGCTCATTGGCATTCCGCGCACACGGGCCGGGGCGCAGCGCGCTGCGTGTCAAGCAGGGTCGTGCGACTGGACGACTCCGGCCCGTCTGCGTCCAGGGCCGCATTCCGGGGGCTCCGGCGGGCCTCCCGTGGCCAGGCCCGCACTTCATGCCGGAGAAACCGATGAGAAGATTAAAAACCCTCTAATTCCAGCAGGAAGACTCTTTCTCGCGATCTCTATTTGCAAAAAGCCTGATCCCAGAGATTGGAATGCAAAGAAGACTGGGGCCTCCGCGCCCCTCCGCCCGGCCCCCCGCGCGCCGCCCGCTCCGATCATTGTCCTCGGGACAGAGAGCCACCGAGGGCTCGAGAAAGCGCGTCGTCAAGGGGCCTTGAGAACGCGGCGGCTTCCAGCGCTGTAGCGGGGCCCGCCATTTAAAATTCAAATACACGTCTTGAGAGGTTGGAAGAGAGGCCTAGCTGTGCAAATAGTGCTTGCGAGGCCCGGGCTTCTGGAGGGCCCGCGTGTGAACGCGAGCGGAGGGGGGCGGGGGGGGCGGGGGTGGGGAGGCGGTGCACCTGAGCAAATAGGGAGGGGGCGGCCGGGAGCCCCAGGGGCGAGAGGAGACGTGGAAGTGTCCCCTCTTCCGAGAGCGAATCCCTTCCAGCGCGGCCATCGCAACCACAATGCGGGGCCCTTTATTGGATTTTAATGGGAAAATCCACACAAGCCCCGGGTTTTCACACCTCGGCCGGTTCTCTGGAATGTTTGTCCAGTTGCTACAACTACTGCAGCTATTTTCCACCCCCGCCCCCGTCCCCCGAAACACCCACACCGGAGGCCCCCCGGCTGGGCGCTGGGGGCAGGCGCGCCAGGGGTCCCTGCGGCGCAGCCGGGTGCTGGAGCGCGGTGGGGGTGGGGAGCGGGGGGTGGGGAGCGGGCGGGAAGGCGCCCGAGTGAGCTCAAGGAGGCTTCCCGAGGAATCCAAGTGGAGAGCAAATACCTTCTGAATTCGTGGCGAAGCTGGGTGTGTACTGAGCGCGGGGGTGGGGGAAGGAGCGGGGCCGGCCAGCCTTTATCACCGCCCGCTCGACCCTGAAAGAGTCGTGAAGGAATGTGTCTGCGTGTGAAGTTTGTCGCCCAGGCGGTGGGGCTCCAGAAGGGAGGCCTTCGTCCGACCAACCCCTAACCTTCCCCCCGGAGCCGCGCGCATCCCCGTCGGGGCGCGCGGCACGCCGAGCGCGCGCCGCTGCCCACACGCGCCTCTGCCTCGGGATTCACCGTCCTGTCCGCTCTTCTTTCTTCCTCCCCGCAGAGAACTCGGTGGCGGCCAAGTCGGGCGGCTGCTTCCCGGGCTCGGCCACGGTGCACCTGGAGCAGGGTGGCACCAAGCTGGTTAAGGACCTGCGCCCCGGAGACCGCGTGCTGGCTGCCGACGACCAGGGCCGGCTGCTCTACAGCGATTTCCTCACCTTCCTGGACCGCGACGACGGCGCCAAGAAGGTTTTCTATGTGATCGAGACGCGGGAGCCCCGCGAGCGCCTGCTGCTCACCGCTGCGCACCTGCTCTTCGTGGCGCCGCACAACGACTCGGGCGTGGGGCGGCCGCCGGGGGGCGCGCTGGGGCGCCGGGCGCTCTTCGCCAGCCGCGTGCGGCCTGGCCAGCGCGTGTACGTTGTGGCCGAGCGCGGCGGGGACCGCCGGCTCCTGCCAGCTGCCGTGCACAGCGTGACGCTGCGGGAGGAGGCCACGGGCGCGTACGCGCCGCTCACGGCGCAGGGCACCATCCTCATCAACCGGGTGCTGGCGTCGTGCTACGCGGTCATCGAGGAGCACAGCTGGGCGCACCGGGCCTTCGCGCCCTTCCGCCTGGCGCACGCGCTGCTGGCCGCGCTGGCGCCCGGGCGCACGGACCGCTGCGGGGACGGGGACAGCGGCGGCCGCGCCCCCCAGCCCACGCCGGGCGCGCCGGGGCCGGCGGACGCGTCGGGGGCGGCGGGCGTCCACTGGTACTCGCAGCTGCTCTACCAAATAGGCACCTGGCTGTTGGACAGCGAGGCCCTGCACCCGCTGGGCATGGCGGTCAAGTCCAGCTGAAGGCCGGGGACGGGGCGGGCGGGGAGCGCGGGGTGGGGGCGGTGGGGGGGGCAACAGCAAGATACAGCAAAAGACACACGGAAAAAAGCGCACGGAATGAGACGTTAATTATCATAATAATAATAATTAATAATAATAATAATAATAAAGTAGGACAGCCCAAAGTAGACTACAAGGAAACCAAGGCCCTGGGGAAGTTCTGGCATCGTGTTTAGTTCGTTTATTTTTTATTTTTTATTTTTATTTTTTGTTATTGTTTTGATAATTTTTTTCCACCTCTCCTGGCTATTTATTTGTTGGGTATGAATAGATGTTTTAAATAATATGAACCGGACCTTCAAGAGCCTTAACTAGTTTGTTTCTCGGATAATTTATTATTGTCGTGTGAACTGTACTCACAGGGGGAAAGAGTATTTTGTGAGGCCAAGCGACCCGCTCAGAGTCTATTTTTCTACGCGTCCCCGGCCCTGCCTCTCGGAAAGCCGCGCACTGCGCGCCCCGCCCTCGTCCACCGCCGCCTCTGCCCCTCGGCCGGTGTCCACTAAGACGCGCTTCGTGGGGGCCCACAAAGTCTATTTTTATACACAGAATTGTAAATTAGATTTTCTTGAGAGATCAATACTGAACTGAATTACATTTCATTTTTGAAATAGTGTAAAATATGAAAATATATTATTTTTAATTTAACGAATTTCCAACGTCACCGCCGTCTCCTCTGATATCTCCCTGGTGTGATCTTTGCTTCGTCGTCACCGTTTTGGCCACATTCTTGGAAGTCAAGACTGTTACACACTCACGCACACACTTTCCCTCCTTCCTCTTCCTCCTCCTCCTCCTTCGTCTTCTTCTTTCTCTTTCTGGACAAACTGGAAGATCTCTGTTATTTTTAACTTCAAAGAATTTATTAGAAAATGATATTTTTTAAAAGCGCACATTAGCAATGAGCCCACGCGGACGGAGCCTGTAGTTTGTGCAGAGATAAACAAGGATGTTTTGCATTAATAAATTCAGAATAACTGCTGTAAATTTACTAAACTGTATTTTTGAATATTTTGTAATAGTTTTATAGAAATAAAACGTGCCACGCACAGGCTGGTCAGTAAGTAAGAACTGAGAACTCCTGTCGAAAACCTTTCTTTGTACCCGGTCCTCCCCCCAACCCCCCCCCCCCCCATTTAGACCATTGCTTATGCTGTGAATTCAGGTCCACACAGGTGCCGATTTTCACCCCTGCAGAGGCCTCTGCTCTGTGACCATCTTCCCATACCCCACAGCTTGGGGGTGCTGTGCTGGGTACTGTGGGCGCCCCCTCACCAGCACAGCTGACAGGTAGGCCCGGAGAAGGAGGTGGTGGCCCAGGGGCCGTCACCTGCGGCTTCCTCTCGGGCTCCTGGTCGTGACTGGACCTTGCTCCGGGGGCTTGGCCAAGCCGAGTGGAGCCTCACTTTGGAGAGCTGAGTTTTCTGGCCTTGTTGGAGGGTCCTTCACTGCTTTGTCAACTCTCGGGGGGCCTCTAAAGGGGGCCCCCCAGGAGAAGGCAGGATGTGGATCTCTCTGGACCTCCACCGTCTTTCCTCAAGGCTCCCCTTGGGCCCGGGCAGGCCCACAACGTAGTGAGTGTCCAGCTGTCCTCTCCAGCTCCAGCCACTGAGGTCTCGGGGCCATGCTGGTGTCAAGTCTCACTCGTCTGTCTGGAGTGGTTGCTGAGCATGGACTTTTGTCCCTAGGGTCCAGCTCGGTGTCAGTGGGTGCTTGTGTCCGTGGGTCTGGGGGAGGAGACCCTCTGCGCTTGCTGCCCCGCCCAGAGGGCTCTGCCCTGGGCGGCCATAGCTTTCAGGAGGCCGCTGCCACCCCGGCTCTGTGCTTCCAGCTCCGGCGTCTGCACAGCCAGGCGTTGCTGGGGCGGCTGTGCAGGCGGCTCTGGAGACAGGAGCAGAATGGGACTGGCCGGTGTGTCTGGAGAAGCTGCTCCCGAGGCTGGGCCTGCGTCCCCTGGGGGCTTCTGTGCCGAGGGTCTGGCATGGTTTCTCCAGGGGGCCGGGACCCAAGTGCACGGTGCTGGTGCCGGAGGCCTGCGGGCATACTGGGTGCACCCGGGGTCGGGCCCTCTGGGCGGGAGTGGTCCTCAGTTTCCCTGGAGGAGGTTTTTTTCTGGTCCTGTAGGTGGTCAGGTTCAAGATTCAAGGTTCCAGGTTAACAAGCCCCTGGTGGCGCTTGTTGGTTCCCATCTGTTGACTGTTCCAGTGTGCACGCAAGCTGGTCCAAGGTAGACCAGAAGCCCTGGGCACAGCAGCGTCTCTGGCTGTGGTGATGGAGTTGTTAGCAGTGAAGCCTGTTGGGTCGGGAGCTGGCGAGACCCTGAGGTGCCTGAGCCAGTGGCAGAGTCTGGGCCCCCAGCCCTGGGCAGCAGGCTCCCACAGTGCCCCCTGCAGGCCGGGCACGGTGGCCCCGTCACACTGGGTATTTACCCAGCCCTCTCCCACCGCCCTGTCCCATGTTCAGCTTTACACGAAGAATTCTCTTTTTTTATGGGCAACAGAAGGGAGCCCACTCTGCTGCACGAGGCCCCTACATCTCCGTCCACAGGGCCGACGCGGCCATAATGCTGCCACATGTAGGCCCAGCCTGCACCGGTCAGTCCCTCCTGTCAAACACCTGAGTCAGAATGTCCCTGAAACCGCTCCCTTGTCCGAACAATTAAAGCAGTTGCAGAGACTTCCACGTGTCCATTTTGTGGCCAAACTCCCGCCCCAGACTGCCGCCGGCGAGCTCTCACTTTCCACCACGGGGCGCGCAGGAGCGGTAAGGGGACGGTCTTACTGAGCCCCCTGCTGCAGGTCATTCACAGGAGGCCCCGTCAGGCCAGGGGGGTCAGGCCGGGGGTGGGGGGCGGAAGGCAGAAGGCACCTCCCGCTCCCTTAGCTGTCAGTTCACAGTCACATGGGAAATACCGGGTGGATGTGCCGAGAAGCCCAATTGGTCACAAGATTTGGCAAGAAAACAGCAAAGTGCTGTTGGGCGGGGCTGGGGAGCCAGCTGCGGGGCCCAGTGCAGGGCCCGGGTCTCAGTCAGTGTTCTGGTGACTCAGAAAAGTGGTCCATCCCCAGGAGAGAACAGCCCACTCCAGGGGGGTGGGTGAGCAGCCCAGGGAGGTGACTTTCCAAGGACATCTTACGAGCAAATCACAAAACACTTTGGGAGCCCCGATGTCTCCCAGCCTCTGATAGAGGAGGCGAGTCCCAGGACCGGGTGGAGGCACCGTGGCCCAGATCCGGCCCCAGGCCTGGCTTTACATGGCCCACCGGCTTAGACTGGCTTTGCATGTTTCAGCAGTTGGGGAGAAGGCCCGTAGGGGAGCAGTAGCTCATGCCTGGTGGGACCTAGGTGAGATCGGACATCCAGTGCCGGTCGGCAAAGCTGTGTAGGAGCCCGGGGTCCGCGGGGGCTGCTGAGCTCCCACGGTGGGGTGGGGGGGCCCTCAGCAGGTGCACCAGAGGCTGCAACCAAAAAACATGGCCCCCAGAGTCCAGAATACTTGCAATTCGGGTCTTGACAGGGAAGTCCACCCCCTGCATTGCAGATCCCAAACCCAAACCACGCCGGGCAGTGGGGCAGAGTGCGGGCAGGGCCAGAGCACATGCTGTGGCCATTGTCACAGCACGGCGTTCGACTGGAATTGGAAGGGTCGCCCCTGGATAGCGCGCCTCGCTGTGCCAGAGGGGGCCCCAGGAAGGCCCAGGGGGCAGCCCCTCCGGCCTGGCCTTTATGCTGAACAAGCATGAGCTAACCCGGAAAGTAGGGGACACCCTGGGCCCAAAACACAATCACAGGACGCCCCTGGGCCTTTATTCTCCCGACCCCGGGAAAACCATCTGTCTTTGGAGAGAACTTCCTTTTCTCTTCCAGCTGAGCTTTATTCCCCCATTAAGAAGAAAATCTTAAAATTCACATTTTCACTATGGAAATGAGCTCTGGGTCTCGGACAAGGACTCCCGGAATGTCTCTGGGGGGGGGGGGGTTACGTTCTCGGTGGGCGTCCCCGGTTTCTGGGGTGAGGGCGGCTCTGTTCCCAAACTGGGGAGATTGGTTTAAACAAGGTTCAGAAATCTGGAAAACTAAGATCGACTAGAAGCACTTCAATGCCAACAATCCGAGGAAAAACTCCCCGCACCGCAGAACTTGGCTCCGGAGTGGGATCCTATGTCCCTTTGCCCTGGGCACCGACCTTCATCCCTGGGGGAAGGAGGCAGGGTTTGGGGGGGACCCCCCATTCTCTGGGCCCCAGAGGAGATGCAGGATTTCTTCCAGGAGCCCTGCAGCCTGCAGGCAGCAAAAGAACCCCATGTCTTCAAGAGGGAGCCCCGCACCCAGGGTCCCCATAGTCTGTCACCCTTCAGGACCGTGTTATCTGAGTCCCGGCTGAAACCTTTCAGCGAGCAGGTGCCAGCCTCCCTCAATAAGTGCTGGGCACCAAAATGCAGGAGCTCAGCCCTGAGGGTGGGGGGGACCCATCGGCTGCTTCAGAAGGAGCCTCAGTGTGTCAGCATCAGAGCAGGGGACAGGCCTGGACGGCCCTGCCCAAGGACCGTGAGGCACCCCCCCACCCCCCCACCCCGCCGCTGCTGGGATGGTGCTGTTCCCAGCACTGGGTGGTGTGGGTGATATCAGAGCCTGGGGCTCTGTGGGGCTGAGTGAACCTTGTCTGGCTCCTCCCTCTTCTGTCCCCAAACTCGGGCGACCCCAAAGGCCTTGCCTGGAACCCCTTCTCTGCTGAGAGCTGAGGGGCCTGTGCGCACAAAGCTTCCACTCTACGTGCCTCTAGCTCGCTCAGCTCTGGGTCCACTGAGAATGCAATCTCCTCCTCTGCCCGCCAGGCCCCGGAGGCCGGCAGACCGCGAGGAAAGCTGGCAGGAGGCTGCAGACCTGATGCAGGTCCACGGACGGTGCGGGTCCTCCCCCCCGCCTCCAACGCCCCCACCCCACGCAGGTCCAGGGGCCCCAGAGTTTGGCCTCCTGTTCCTGCGTCCTACCCCTGGCAGGGTAAAAGCCAGGCACGAGAGGCTGCGGGGCGTGCCTGGAGAGGTGTGGGGTCTCGAGCCGGGGCGGGGGGGTGCCCCCCATTACCGTTCGCCACGGGTCTCCGGGACCCTTCGCTAGAGCGGTGCGCCCTCGCATAGCTAAGGAGTTGCGCCTCTGGGTGGAGTCCGAGCGCCCTCTGGTGGTCTCGGCCGCCCACCGCGAGTATCCGAACTGCCTCTGCAGAACGGAGGGCAAGGGACAGCGGGACACCCACGGACTGCAGTGTCCAAGGCCTGGCGGGAGCAGTCAGGACAAGCAACGCCTCCCGTCCCGCTCTCCCTTCGCTCCCACAGTGGCCTCACCCAGCCATGGCAGCCGCACCGGGCCCTGGCCTGGCTTTCTGGGGGAAAGGGAAGCTTTTTTCTTAGAGACCAGTGATCAAAAAGAGGAAAAAGAAAAGAAAAAAAGCCACGTAGGGAATACCGAAGGCTGCAAGTGCCGCATTCTTAGGGCGTAGGAATACCAATGCGACTTCCCATGCAACCCTTTAAGGTCCCAGGGCAGCAGCCCCTGCAGGGGGCTTCCCATCTGGACCTGGGGCCCACCCCCCAGGCCCTTACAGAGCTCGGGGCTCTCCATCCTCCCCCCACAGGCTCCAGCAGCATCTGGAAGGAGCCACTAGGGGACTGTGACCCCTCGCTTAGCTGTGTGGCTCCCCTCCCTGGAAATGACGTCCCACACCTCAGGGTGAGCAGATGACCTCTGAGAAGGTTTGTACACGTGGGCAGCGGCCGTGGCAGCCCCTGTGAGGCCACGTGCCTCTTCCTGAGGGATGCACAGCTCTTCCCCAGAGGCCACCGTGCCCCCCGCTAACCGGCACTGGGACTGGGGGGTCCCCATCCCCTCACATCTGGACAAAGTGGACAAAGTGACATCTGGACAAAGTGAGGGTGTGTCTGTGTCTGAGAACCAGACGAGTGGGCACAGTGGTGTCGCCTGGGTGCCAGGCTCCCTTGACAGGCGACACTGTGAGGCTGCCGTCCACTCAGGTGGGGCAGGTGTGCGTCCACACCCCACGTCCCCCAACAAGAGCAGCAGCTGCCACACAGAGCTGGTAGGGCTGTGAGTGTTTTCCCGGGGGAGCAGACCATACTCGTCACCCCTAAGGGCACATTCTAAACAAATGGGATGGAGGAAGGTGGTGGTGACCGCTGTGCCAGGTGAGGTGGGGGCCACAGGGTGGGTACTGGGCGGGTGGCAGTGGTGAGGGTGGCTGGGGTGTTCATGTGTGTGTGCACACACGTTGGTGTGGTTGTGCATGCATGATGTTTTGAACGTACCCATGCATTGCATGTTTGTGTTCGTGCGCATGTGAGTGCACATGCATGCATGCACATGTATGTGTGCACACATGGGCATTCACTATATGTGCATGTAGACACATGCTGACGACCTTCACAACGATGCTCTCTGGGTGGCAAACTTACAGAGTGCCCTCACTCACCTCCATGACAATTTAGTGGGCTCTAAGCAAAAATAAAATGCTGTATTTTTAACATGCTTAAGAAGTTATATGTTGCCTTGTTCTGTGTCCCCTCTATGTCCACCCAAGTGGCCTTGGTCAGCAGTCCATGCTGTGGCCGCTGCTGCCACGAGGGCCGCCGTGCGCTGCTCACAGGACCGTCAGCTCGGGGGAGCGGCCGCCCTCCGAGGGGGCTGCAGACGCCTTGGAGGGTCAGGCGCCTTTCGGGGAAGTGCCTCTCGGGGCCAGGAGGAAGTCAGATGCCAGGGTGTCCCCACCCAGAGGAGGCTTGTCTTTCCACACTCGAAGCCCGTGCCCATCAGGCACCGCCCTGCAGTGTCCTCCCTGTTGGGGTGACCCCCGGGGCTGAGCGAGGGCGACCTGAGAGCCGGGCTCTGGTCTCAGATCCACCCGGGACCTGCACGTCCGGACAGAGGCAGGTCCGCTCTGCGGGCTTGCGCCCCTGCGTGTGGAAGGAAGGCTCGGTCCCCTACCTGGCCCAGCCCTGCCATGCTCCGACCTGCTTGACCAGCGCCGGTGAGAGAATGGAGGCAGAACCAGCCTCCATTTCAGGGTGTGCCACCTGGCTGTCCCTTGAGGAGGGCAGGGGGAGTGAGCGCCATCTGCTGGGCAGCTCTGAGACCCTGGGTCTGGGAAGCCTCTGTCCACACCTCCACCGGCCTTGGGGCCCTTTCTCAGGAATCAGCGGAGAAGAGGGGCCCCAAGTCTTCACCAGAACGTGAAGGACCATGGCCTGGGTCACAGTCCTGGGGGAAGAAGCAGACACCTCGGTGCCACTGCAGGGACCGGGCCCCAACAACCCCGCCAAGGAAGGGGTGAGTCCCCCAGACAGATGTGGACAGAAGGGAATGGACGGTGCCCGGGGGGAGCGGACGTGTTGAGAGCAGCCTCCTGGGAATTCACTGCGTGGGATTCGCATTTTCCACAGCAGAACAACGGGAAGGTGAACACACAGGCTTCCTGCATCTGCAAGGATGCCCACAGTGGCCTCGGGACCCCAGCTCCGCTCACAACCGCAGAACTTCCCAGAGGCCAGGTGCTGCCCGCTCCTGAGAAGGGTGGCCAGGACATTTGCTAAGAATGATGGCAGCGGAGGCAAAAGTGCTCGGGGCCAGCCATCCGGGAGGAAGTGACCCTTGGGGAGGGCAGTGACCCAGTGGCCTGGTTTCAGGAAACGGTGTAAGGAAGGGCCCTCCCTGACCCGGTGGCCCCAGGACTGGGGGCAGGAGGCAGAGGGGCAGCCCTCCCAGGCCTGGGGTGCAGGCCCACTTGCCCCCACGCTGGGGGTCTCCCAGCAGTCTCTGCTCTCACCCCAGGCCTGTGGTCTCAGGCCTGGGGTCCGGCCCGGCATGATCAGGCCCAGGCATGGGTGTGAAGTCGGCGTTTGGTCAGCACCTGCCTCGGCCTCGCCCATCTTGGGCCCCAGTCCATCTTCAAAGCCCTTCAGAGGACAGGGCTGCCCCGACTGCCCAGGCCAGTCCTCCTGCACCGGTCTCTCTGGCCCAAGAGCACTCTAGGGTCTTGGGGGGGGGACCAGCCATGATGGGGCTGAGGACCCCTGAGGGGCACAACCAGCCTCAGGGCTGACCAGAACGCTGCCCCTGGGCAGTCCACAGACAGTGCCCAAGGGCAGCCCCAAACACTCCAGGGAGCAGGGAGCCGCTGTGCCCACCGTTCCCTGGAGCTCCTGTGTGCAGGGTGCCTGGCACGTCCCCTCCAGCCCCGATGGGGGGGTCATCTTCACCAGAGACACACGTGTTTGGGCGAGGCCTGTCCGAGGACACATGAAGCCTGCTGCCGTTGAAGGCCCGCACACACAGACTTCGCTTGTGCCCATGGGGCCGGCGTAGGCCCCAGACCCACACCCACTGCCCCTGTGCCAACGTGCACCTGCTCCCGAATCCAGACCCCAGCACCTCCCCGACCCTCGGGTGCTGTGGGTTGTTCTCTGTCCCGGCTCCAGATAAGGTGCCTGGGAGCACAGGCCCCAGCGGGACAAGCGTGGTGGGCAGTAGCCTCGAGGCACTGGCAGGCTCCGGTTTAGGTTTCAACCTTCCACCAAGTCACACCGGACAGTTCCACCTCGGACGGGAGCCACTTCCTGCCTGACCTGCTCTGTGCCGGGACGGCCTCTCCTTGATCTTGGGGCAGTGCGGGAGGGCGCTGGCCCCCCAGCTGCCCCCATGCCAGCAGCCCCAGAATTAGAACACGCGCCACACAGGGAATCCGCACTTGGGGGGCGGGGGGGGGGGCCTGGGCCTCAACCCTGCACAGGCCACCCACTGTCGACTTCCAAGTGGTGACCTTGTAGCAAGTGCCCCCTCCCAGGAGAGACAGCGGGTCTCAGTCCCCAGCCCCCGCTGTCTGCCTGCCCAGCTCAGGGACAAAGGGAACGTGCCCCAGCCCCACCCTACCGCTCCCTCGAGAAGCCCCTTCGTGCAGAGGGGAGCACAGGGAGCTGCCACCTGGGTCTTGACATGGGTGCCACACAGGACCCGCTGGGGAGGGCGGTCTGTCACTGCAGGGCGCGTGTGCCCGTGCACGTGCCAGAGGGGACACGGGCTTCCCAGAGCACTCGCTCTGGAGGCCCCTGGTTTTCCACCCAGGTGGTGACTTGTGAGTGACCTGGGGCAGTGGACAGCACACCCGGCACGGCACACTCACAGGTGCGGGGGGGCTGCCTCTACTTGTAGGGTTAGGGCACAAGTTTCCTTTGAAAAATGCTAAAAATGAACCCCGGCTGGTGTGGCTCAGTGGATTGAGCACTGGCCTGCGAACCAAGGGGTCGCCAGTTCGATTCCCAGTCAGGGCACATGCCTGGGTTGCAGGCCAGGTCCCCAGTAGGGAGCGCATGAGAGGCAACCACATGTTGATGTTTTTCTCTCCCTCTTTCTCCTTCCCTCCCCCCTCCCTAAACATAAATAAAATTACAAAAAGAAAAATGGTAAGAATTGTTTTAAAAAATTAGAAAGAGAATGCAGCCCCTACTTCCGGGTGGATTCAGACCCACACAGCCCCCCCGTGCGGTGCAGACAAGGCCACCTGAACCCCCGGGGCTGTGCTGTCCGTCTGTCCCCGGGGCGGGAGGCAGGCTGGGCTGAACCTGAGTGGCGAGAGGAAATAAGAGCTACAGGATGAAAGCAGAAACTTCAAGGTATTTTATTAACACATCGTTCCAATTACAGTACAGCTTGAAACACATTTCCGCACAGTGTCACACAAGGGTACAACAATACAGTCCCACTGCGCCTCCTGCTCCCCACACCTACTCCCGAGGCAGCCGCCGCAGGGCCGGGGCGGAGCCAGGCCTGCTCGCTAGGACAGGCCAAGTCGGTCGGCCCAGAGGAAGGACGCAGTCAGCTGGCGGCTCTGAGCGCTCGCAGTGCCTGCAGCTTCGCGCCTGGGCGGCGCGCACTAGGTTAGGAAGGGTCACAGTCAGCCAGAGCAGGGACAAAGGTCGCGCGGGCAGGCCGGCACCTCCCAGCAGAACAATAGGGCGTTACTACTAACACTGAACCCACGCACAAGAGGTCCTGCAAGGGGAGGGCAAAAGAGAGGGGTTAGTGCCGCTGCCGCCGTGGCCGCCGGAGTCGCACTGCAAAGTAATAGAACCCAAGTGTTATTCTCTCCGACCACAGACCTGGAGGGACAAGGCAGGGGACAGACCTGTCAAAGCAAAGCTGAGAGGTGATCCAGGAGTGAGAAGTGCACGGCACTCCGTTCTGTATGAAGCCACTGCGCAGAGGGGCGAGTCCACACCAAGGGGGCGGGGGGGGGGGCAGGGAGGGGTGAGGGGGGTGGTGCAAGAAGAGTCTAGGGGAGGCAGCCGGCCTGGGGCTTCGGTGTTGTTGAACCTGGAAATTAAATAGTGGAATTAAAGCTTCGGCGTTCGAGTCCTCAGAGAGGAGAGCACGCAGGGCCCGCACCTGTTGAAAGCAAAGAAAGATGGTAAAGCCGCAGGACTGCCCGCTCTTCCGTCGCCAGTGTGCGCTCCGGCCCCTCCAGTGACCGCCGCAAGGCAAGGAACGGCTCCGTCCTTCCCACGCAGCGTCCACTGCGCGCGCCCTTCCACTGGAGAGCAGGCTACAAGACAGTCGAGCTGAAAAGAGGCCAAGGCCAGCCTTCCGGAGCGGACGACAGCACTAACTATGCGATGTGCGGAAACTGCATTTGCCTGCCCGCTCTGCAACGTGAAAGTTTTAAAACTGCACGTTTCTTTAAAGGGACTGCATTTTTCTACAAACCTCTTAAACTTAGTGAAATAAAACGAGAGCAAAGCACTGACACGAGGCCCTGTGCACAGGATAGTCGGTTACAAGTCAAAGGAAAAAGCCCTCCTCACGGCCAGGACCTGCCGCCTCACTGAGAGGGCTTCCCGCCGGAACTCGGCACCGGGGAGGGCCGAGGCCTGTGCGCACTCCCTGGGAAGGGCAGGCCCTGCCCGCCACGCGCCACCGGAAGGTGTACCTGGGATCCAATATGAATCAGTGGGTTTGGCTGTGGTTCCAGGACGCAGAACCACAGCCCTTGAAGGGATGGAAATTGAACAGGTTGCAAAAAAACCTTACACAAAAATCCTTAGGATTCAGTAGTAAACCAAGACCACAGGCCTTTGTAAAGTTATTTAAAAGTGTCCAAAATAACACTTCATTCACAAATTTTAAGAACAGGTGAAAAGGTTACTTGAAATGATCCCTAAGTAAATTTTAGGAGTGCCTCAGCCTCTCTCCCTGGATCTGTGTGGCCGCCTTCCTGGGTCTCCTGGCCCCCCCGCCGTCACCCCCAAGCCCGTCTGTGAATCCCCCTGCTGGAGCCTGTCACTGAAAAGTTTGTAAAGAACCCCCAATACTGAAGTGTTCCCTCCCCCGACTCCAAATAAACAATCAAAGGTGGGGGTGAGGGCTCTACCTGACAAAGGGCAGGAAAGGCAGATCTAACAGCGGCTGGACCAGGGAGGGACGTTAAGCCTGACCCAGGAAGGGCGCTCCGGCAGGGACCGGCGCCCCAGCACGCGGACCTCACTCCAAACCTAACTGTCCTCACAGCCTCGTCAGTCCGCTGGTCGACAGGCACGCTGAGCTTACCTTCGATTAAACAGAAACAAGGAACACAACAAACAAGAGAAACAGAGAGAACACAGGAGAAGAAGCGACAGCTGCTGGAAATGCGCTCCCTGAGCAGGGCTCCCTCACTGCCCCACCGGGGCCGGGCGGGCACTCCCGGGAACCCTGACACCGCCCACCCGCACGCCCCGCAGCGGGAGCGGTCCAGCAGGCGCTCCCCACTCCTGCCTGCTCCCGAGTGGGTGCGCGAGGAGACGGTCTAGGGCGAACACTGCTCCACTCTGAGAGTCTGTCCTCCCCGCGGCCCTTCCTCCTGCCCCTTCGCCATCCCTGGCTCCCAGCTCTTCCCAGCAACAGAATCTTCTGTTGGCAGAATTAAGCATTTTTGCTGTTGGAAGAAAGGACCCCTGGGTGCAGGGTCTATGCTGCCACAGTTCAGAAACACTACAGAACCAAGCGTGAACAGTCGTTTCTCAGGACCTTTACAAATCATGGAAGGTCACCCCGGATGGAAAATACTTCGGAAGAAGCCCACCCCTCCCGCCCCAGGGCCAAGGCCACAGGCACCTACTGGATGCTGCCTGTTCAGGAACGGGGACCCTCAACATTTCCTCTGGAAAGAGAGACAAGATTTCTCCTTTAAAAGCATACTGGTATAAGGATTGAACAAAGGTGGCCAGACCAACAGAACCGCAAGGTTATGCCCAGGGAGCTGGGTGAACTCATTACAGCACAAACTCAAACAAGGCAACTCGAGAGGAAAGTACCTCTTGGCTCCACAAATCGCCTGCAGCATTTACCGTGCGAGATACACTGATAGTTACTGGCTTTAAGCTTCTTGAGTTTGTGAACAAATAATACACAGGTCAGGATAAATGTATTGACTTACTCCCATCTTTATAAAAATCGAATACACACACGAACACATCAACACTTACGGAACTGTATCCATTGAACTTCCGTGAGACAACACAAAAGAACTAGCGAACAGCTAAGGTGTGGCTGAGCTGAAAGCACATCCAGTCACACGTGGATGTTGAAAGGTCCGTATGTACACAGTCCGCGGACGCCCCGCGACCCGCCCACACGCTTACGCGCGTGAGAGAGAAAGAACAGAGATAATGGTTGCAGCAGATCTTCCAAGAGGGCTCGGCTCCGGTGCCCAACTTCCCCGAGGGAAGCGCACCAGGAGCGGATGGGTCCTGACTTTCTAACTCTTCTCTCCTCTGCAGTTTCCTCCCAGGAAACGCAGCTGTGCCCCCAGGCCTGGCAGCGCTGCGGGTGTGCCGAGAGGCGGTGGGCACGGAGCAGCAGGGACCCGAATGGACCCATGCCCACCGGTGCTCTAGGAAAAACCCACTGCACCTCAGGGTCCACACTGCAGGGACCGCGTGTCAAGAGAAGCCGACCCAGAGTGAGGTGCCCACTGGAACATGCTCACGGTCACCGACTGAGCGGCTTCTGTGCCTGCCCTTCATGGAGTGCGTGTGACTCTGGTCCCCACGCCACGACACGCTCAGACTACTTCAGAGAGTGGCCACAGCTGGCTCAGCTCACGCTAGTGCCCCACACATCCTCAGCACAGATCCCACTGACTGCGAGCCCCTGCTGGCGCCCAGCGTGGGGAAGGGGTCTGGGTCGCTCTGAACTAGAGCTCCAGCCACTCCCCACCTCCACACAGCTCCCTGTGGGCTGAGCTAACTCCACTAGGCGTTTATGCACGAACGCATCTGCAGCTACTTGTGGAGAGGGTGCAGTGAGCCTGTGTCACCGGCTGACAGGCACAGGGGACCGCTGCATGGGAAACCCCATGGAGCCCCTGGGCACAGGCCGGCCTGGGCCCTCTGGAGTGAGAGTAGCAGGTGCCTGAGCCAAGGGCTGTCCAGGGGACCCTATAAGGCCTACACTTTGCTGCACTGACGTCTCCTAGGAATGGCCGGCACCCCTACGGCCCAGGCTTGCTCTCAGCACACAATGCCACCTGAGAACAAAGGCAACACAGGGTCTCACAGGGTCTGGGGACTCCCCTCCAGTGCTGGCCACTTACTTTGAAAAAGTAAAATAACACATCAACTGTGCAAACAGGACGGCACTAACTCCCACAACCCGGGTCTGGTGCCCTCCACCCCGCAGGGGCCCGGCCACACAGGCCCCCGGATCCCCACGTGGGTCCGCACTGGGCTGACCGAGGACGGCCAGTGGCAACAAGCTTCTACTTCCGCTGACTCTATGGGTAACTCCAATACGGCTTCCCAGGTATGAAGCACAGAGAAGAAGTCTGGGTCTGCCCTAGACCGAGGCTCCAAAGCTCAGGGACACCACCCCACCCCACCCCCCCGCCCGCAGGCAGAGGCACAGGAAGGCACTTCATCAGCGCTGGCCTGGACTGCAGCTTCCTAAAGGGAAGGCGGGTCCCGCTAAAGGGGCCCTCTGCAGAGTCGCCCAGGCAGGGTCACCGGGGACATGCCAACCTCACCCAGAGTCTCACCGTCCCTGCGACACAGCCCCCTCACAGCACACGCCACGGACAGAGCTGTGCCAAGGTCAGGGCCACCCTGCTCTCAGGTCTACTGGAGTACGGTGCCCCACCTGCTCAGAAGGCCTTCGAAAAAGAAGAAGAAAGATGAGGAGGAGAAGAAAGGTTAATCAAAGCAATAACCTGCTCCCCAGAGAACGGGGCAAGCCAAGAGCCAGTGTCGGGGTCCTGCCACTTTGTGCTGCATTCAGGAAAAGAGAAAACCACCACCCAGGTCTGGACAGGCTCTGGGCTGCCCCCCTGCCCGGCAGGTGCACGGTGCCTCCCACTGGGCAGTGGACGCCCTGAGGGCCTCGGCCAGAGCACCACACACAGCTCCTCTGCACCCAGGGCAGCACGACAGTGACCACCGGGTCCTCGCCTTATTTGGGAAATTAAATGGGGCAGGCAGTCCCCTTAGGAACTCAGAATGTGGAGCTGGCACGCTCAGACCCTTCACAAGAACAGACTGAGCCACACACGGCACCCCCCCCCCCACTGCTTTCCAGGACATGCAGCTGTAGTCACAGCCACCAGTGTTTCTGCCTACAGTCCGAGAGCCTCCGGGGACTTCCAGAAAAGACAACCGGCCTAGCCTGCACTGAAGATAAGTGCAACCATTATCAAGTGTTCTTTGCTGTGAAAAGTACGGAGAACCTGCCGCTAACGTCCCTCCCTGACCCTGAGTCACGGGGAGCGCTCGGTCGGTCAGACAGTGAGGTCACGAAGAACAACGTCCACATGCATCGTGAGCACTTCGAAAACAAAAGAAAACAAGGACCAGAGTTCTCGGAGGTGACAACAGAATCTGAAGCCATCTAACACCAAACTGCAGTCTGCCATGTCCCACAAGTCCGGCTCCCCCAGAATCAACACTGGGCCGCCCAGCGCTCCGGACGGTCCGCAGGGCTGGGTGGAGACTGTGGCAGGCGCGACGGGCGCTGGCAGCTCCCTTGAAGAAATTCCTCAGCTTGTGTGTGCGGTGTGAGGCCGGTCTCCCTGCCAGGAATCACTCGACAATCAGGGCCACGTTTATGTGGGACAGATCTATCATGTGCCTGTGGGGGTGGGACAAACAGCTGATCTTAGTGCTGTAGGCCAGGGCTGGCTCCCTGAGGCCGGAGGACGTTCCCGGGGGGGGGATGGGAGCCCCAGTGAGGAGCGCAACTCCAGGGGAGTGCAGGCTGACGCAACGCCACGTGCACAGAGGGACCAGGGGCCACCCGTCCCCCCGAGGAAGGCAGGAGCACCCCCTGCACATCCCTGCGCCCTTCCCCAGGGGCGGACGCACACGAAGCGGCAGTGCCTCTGACCCAGAGCAGGTGGCAGAGGGGTGGTGCCCCCCGCCCCCAGGCCCCCGCCCCCACGAAGGCCAGGGCTACCTGTGGAACTTCTGCTGGAACGCTAGAGCGTGGGCTGGCTCCTTAAACTTAGCGATGGCTTTCCGTTGCTGGGGAAGCATCTGTAAACTCTAGAGAAAAAAAACCAGACATTTTAGTATCACACTACTAAAATATGGTAAAAAAAGACACATATGTAAACATTAGACTTAACACAAAAGTTCAAGTTCAGATGGACACTCAGATCCCTAAAACAGTGTGCTTTGGCGAGCCACGCCCCGAGAGCACATACGCTCTGCAGGCCGAGCGTTTAGGGGCCCGTGGCAGCAGGCAGCCTGCCCCCACTCCGCCTCCAAGCCTGGGACAGGCACCCTGGGGAGCCCTCCCTGCTTGTGGGCCTTCCCACCATGGCTGTCCATGGTGTCCTGGGTTTGAAAATGCCAGGCTCCTCTCCTACAGGGAAATGCCTCCCAGCCTTGGTGGGGAACACCTGACGGGGCGCCTCCCCCACGTGGAATGAGGGCAAAGGGCCAAGTCTGTGCTGAGTGTGAGACAGGAACACGCCTACTGAGAGAGGATGTGCCCGCGCAGAGCGGCGGGTGGTCAGGGAGGCCGCCGGCCCTCCAGGGCCAGAACACCACCCCAAGTCTGCTTCCTGCCTGGCCCCCTTCATTTGCACTTTGGTGCCTTTTCAGAAAACCAAACCTTATTTTCTAGGCATGACAATGAATTGCAAAATTGCCCCTTTCAATTTATCAAGACAACACCATCACCCCGCAGAAAGAACCACAGGAAAAGACACGCCGCACCAGCAGTGGCAGTGCTCGCTCACCATCGCCGCTCCGGAGGGCTCTCACAACAGGCAGGTCTGGGTTTCGCCTGAAGCTCAAACCCACTCTGTCCCCACCTTCCACTGGCCCAAGACAGAACGGCTGACTCACTGACGCTCACCTGGCTCCCCGATTGCTCCTGAGGACCAGCAGCCGCCCACCGTGAACTGCAGACAGGGCTGGTGCCGGCAGGTGTTTACTCACACCCCCGCCCACGCGGGGCGTCCTGCTCGCCACACCCACTCACGGAGAGCTGCGCACTGCCCACAGCCAGGCCTCCTCCCCACCTGGACGCAGGCCCCCTGGCCAGGAGTGCGGTCCATGCGGTCAGACCCACTGGATGCTCTTCCCTCTGGCCGGTAACCCTCATGCCTTCAGGAATCCCCACCGAAAGCCGACGACAGTCTCACTTGTTTTAACACAACAACGCAACTGCTTCAAAGGGGCCCTGTGAGGGGACGAGCCCAGGACCTGACTCCGGGGTCTCTCCTGCTGGCAAGGAGGCACCAGGAGCAGCGAGCGCCACCCCAAAGGGGCCTTGGCAGTAATGGGGGACCTTTGCAGCAGAGTCCTGGACAGCCCCGCCCCACACCGAGGTCACCAGATCTATTATGGCTCCTTTGCATAATCACAAAAACCAACCCCGTTTTCTAGCTGTGATGATGAACGGCAGATGCAGTCCCTACCCAGATGATCCAGACCACCAGCAGCGGCCCGCCGGGCCGGTCCTCTCTGACACAGGTGCCGCGTGGGTCTGAGAACCTCACGTACGCCCACCACGGGCTGCCCTGCCTTCCCCAAAGACGGGCCCTTCCTCAGAGCTGTGTGTCCTTGCCCTGTCTCCTGAGACCGTTTCGCCTGGCTGTCTCACGACCGCCCTGGGACTCTGTGGGACAGCCCCCGCCGACCTGTCTGCCATGAGAACTTTAGGCCCTGTGGCCATGCCCAGACCTTTTGTGAGCCTGTCGGCATCTGGCCACCCTGTTCTCCCTCCCAAAGGCCCTGGGTGCCAAGTGACAGACTGCTTTCACTGGAGATGCCAGTGTCTTCAGTGTCTTCCAAGTCACTCGCCAGCCCTTCCCGGTCAGTTGGAACCAGACTTGGTGCCAGAAGTGCTCTTGCCAGCCAGGGCACCTTCCGCTCAGAAGCTCCAACGGGACCCTGCCTTCCCAGCCACTCGAGAGGGCCCCGTTTGTGTGGACTGGGTTGCTTTCTCAGGCTGGCAGCCCGGGGCCTGAAGCAGCTGCAGGACCACCCTGGGACAGGCCACGCTGGCATCTGGCGCTGCCCTGCTGCCATCCCTGCCTCACTATGCCGCCCCTCGGAGACGCAGGGCTCCCTGTCTGTCGTCTCCCCCACCCCAGGTTATGCCAGGGACCAGTGAGGGGTGTGGAAGTGCCAAGGGTCTTCTGTGACCCCAGAGGGTCTGATGGGGACACCTGCACTCACGGCGGGAAGCGCCCTGCCCGAAGCCGCACGCCAACAATGGCCCCGGGGCTCACCTCAAAGCTTGACTCCAGCTGCCTCGCCAGCTGCGTCCTGCGTCCAGGACTGTTTGGACAGGGAGGCGGACATCGGCAGAGACATGGTGACAGTCACAGAACTGGGCACAGACAGGTGGCACCTACACACCGGCTGTTACTGAGTGGGGGTCGCTGGGAACCCCGAGGTGAGGAGGAACCCTGCACTCTCGGGGGAACGACCTTTCGTTTCTCCACCAGGGCATCTCGGCCGTCACAGGTGACCAGCTTTCCTTAGCACGTGGCGGGCACCACTCAGCCAACAGGAAACAAAGGCCATGAAGGAAGGGCCTCGGAAGTCGTGACTGCCCTGCTCCTGGCCGACCTGGCCCCGCAGGAGGCCTTTCCCACAGGGGGACGGACCCCATCACTAGGGTGCCCCCCACGCCCCCCTTCCGTGTACCTGCAGATGACGGCCCGGTTCCGACTCTCACTGCGCCCTCTCATCTGGAACCCAGAAACCCGCCACCTACTCCCTCCCGTCCCTCCTCCTTTCTGGTCGGAAACGCTCCCCATCCCTCGCTGTGCGAACGAGTGTCTGCAGACACGAATGCCTTTGCCACGGACTTTCCGGCGAGGCATGAGTGTGGTTCAAGGGGAGACCATAATCTGAGAGCAAGGTGCTGTCCTGTGGACTCCAGGACCAGAGCAGCAGAGCAAGCGCGCTACAACCCTAACTGAAGGGCAGGGAGCTGAGCCCTGCCCAGCACCATGGCCACCGCTGCTGTTGCACCACGTGGGCACAAGGTGGCGCCACAGCCCAAAGACTTAGTTTAGGGGCAGCAGGAGGCCCCTGGACCCCATCCCTTTCAAGCCTATTTACATTGAAACCGTTATTGTAACAAAACGTTGTCCCAAGTATCCTTTTTAAAATCCATGCTCACCATTCCGACTCTGCTGCAGAAGCTGATTACACCTGTGTCACCTGGAATGTGAGACGCTCAGCATTTGTGACTGAAGGTTTAGCATCGACTCCCCACTCAAAACCAGCCCCAGGAGCGAGCTGGCAACAGCAGAGCACACAGCGCTCAGCCCTGGGGTGTGCTCGGCCCAGTAGGAGCAGTCCTCAGGGACTTCACAGGACTGGGGACCCTCTGGTGCCTCATTCTAGGGGTGATGGATGCACCTGAGAACGTCTCTTCCCCATCCCTCCCTCACTCTGCCATGGAGAGGAGCCATCAAATAACCCAGAGTGGCTTCGGTCCCATGCAGGTGCCCTCCCACAGACTTTGTGACTGCTAACACAACCTCTAACACAATGACCTCTAGTCTTCCTTCCTTGGAACAGTGGACAGAAAGGCAGGGATGGGGTGGGGGTGTCACCCCAGAGAGGCAGAACTCCAAAACGCAGAGTTCTAATTCTAAGATGGCCACGATGAGGCTGGGTGGCAGAGCGGCTATCCGCGATGACAACCCCCAGCCCCCGTCAGCACTGGCCTCGGGTCGGGATGTGGCACCCACTCGGGGGCACACTGGAGAGTAACCGAGGGTGGCCCGAAGGGGCTGAGCCACCACCACCCCCTGCCCCAACACACACCAGCCCTGACAGGAAGCCCCGGCCCTGCAGACTTTTACGCCTGGGCTCCCCGCTGACCTGTAATCTGGCCCCCAATTCGCAGCCACAGCAGGCCTGAATCTCAGAGCGGGATGGCCACACCTGCGCACCCGACAGCCTCCAGCGTCCTCTCCGTTCCTGCGCGTGACTCCCGAAGACTGGGGACTGCCTGGGAACCACTGGGGACTGTCTGGGCTCAGTGCTTCTGACGACGAGGAAGCCGCCCATCCCTGCCCCCTGCCCCCCTACACCCCGCCAATGGGAAGTGTGGTCTTCAACAGAAGCCAGTGTCCTTGGTCACCTCTCCATCACTGTGTACAACACGATGGGCCCCCGCTGCCGGCCCTGGGAAAGGCGGAGCGCTCCCACGGCGCTCACGCACACTGCTCCCTGCTCTCAGGGACGTTCCACAGAACAGGAGACAGAAGACGCACCGAAGGGGAGCTGCCGCGCCTGTCCCATCTGGACGTGCCACTCAGGATGCTGCGGCCACAACACGCCTGAGAGCATGCGCCTGGCGCTCTCGCAGACTCAAGCTCCCCTCAGTTGCGTGTGCAGCACGCTGTGCTCGGATGCTGCTGGCCGACTGGGAGGGAGGGCCGAGACGGTCCATCCGCCCATAGCACAGCGGGACGTCTGCGGCCGGCCAGGTGGCGACCCCAAAGCTCTCGGAATTTTAGCTGGTTTTCACATCAAGGGGCCAAGACACAGTCCACGTTGCTCCATGTTTGCAAACTCGAACCCATGTCCCACAGCCATTAGCATGGGAGGCTGCTTCTGGGAATTAAGGTCAAGAAGGCTACATACTTCACAGATTTCAAATCATTACACACAAAACAAGCATGTGGCAGAAAAACACTACTTACATGAATGTGTATGGGAACTCTGGAATAACTTAAGGATTTCAAAGTACCGTTTGTTCTGATGGAATAATTGTTCCATGACATTTATAAGTGAGCATGTGAAAACTTCCGAATAATCTGAGGCAAAAGCTCCGACAGCAGGTGCACACAGAAGTGCCTTCCTTCTGAAACGCACCACCTTCACACACAGTGACCCGCACTCCACGTAAACCAAAGAGTCACAGGGCAGAGCGCCTGGACGCCGTGGGCTGGGCGGCCTACCTGGATGGGCCCCACCGACGTGAGCAGGCCCCGCAGCTGGGCGTCGGTGGTGGAGGACGACAGGCCTTCCACGGACACGACGCAGGGCTGCGGCTTGCACTCCACCACCCGCAGGTTCTGCTTGTTGGGCATCGGGCGCCCGCGGCCCATCGGCCCTGCCGCTCCCCGGCCTCTCCCGTGCATGAGGACCTGCCAAGGACAAGAGTGACCAGTCAATACGGAAGCTTCGTGTTTTTCTGCACAACTGCTAAGACATAAAAGTGAGTAAATAACTCAGGATCCATTAAAATACACCACGAGGTATGCATTTCCTATGGTTTTTGCCCACCCTCAGAAAAGAACTGAACATCCACAGGAAACACTGCCGCCAGCCGACTGAAAGGAAGGGCTGGGCAGGGGCCCAGCCAGAGCTGGCCTGGGGCTCGGCAGGAATGCGACACCCCTTCTGCGCTCCTGCCGTGCTGGGTGTGAGCAGAGGACCCCGGGGCCCAGGAACGTGCTGTAAGGCACCTTAGGCTCCAGGTCGGTCCTAATGGCCCCAGAGCCCGAGGCCCTCCCTCCACACTCAGGCCTGCTCCGCAGGGGGTGTGCCCACAGGCCCCACACAGTCACTGCAAGCCACTGCCTCGCGCTGATCTAGCTCTCGTGGACAGCACACTCCCACCCTGAGCTGGAACTGTATGTTACAAACCAACAATGACATCCTCTACCAGAGCACCAAGCTTAGAGCACTGACATCACAGGAGGGCAAACGGAGGTCAGGACAAGGGGTGTGAAGCTGTGTTTGGCCCAGGGTGCCCCAAGGGTGTTTAAAACATGTAATGCCAGGTGGACTCCCCTTAGACTGTGAAATAAAAAACTGGCAACTGCCAACACAACAAAAGCCATTCGGTGCAAGTGGAATAGAATTATGCCTATTTTTTTTATGACTGGCAAAAATTAATATTTTTTGGTGCGCTGCAGAATTCTAGTAATCAGTGTGTGTGTGTGCCATGGGAGGAGAAAGGCTGACGCACGCCGCCCCGGGCACAGAGCTGCACGGACAGGATGCTTTTCCAAGGTCTCCTCGGGGTGCCCTGACTATAGAAAACCCGCACTGCACCTCCCAGTGGCTGCACCCACACACATGATTTACTGGGTCCGCCCACCTGTCTCCTGCTGCAAGAATGGAAGACCCCCTCAGCCCACATCGTCACATGGCTAGGGGTAACACACCAACATAATAAAGATACCCTCGAGACCCAGAACTGCCTTCACGTCCCACACTACTGCTCACGTGCCCCAGCACACCACAGGCAGGCAGGCTGGACTGGGTGGTCGAGGGCCTTCCGGGAGGACCCCAGCAGGTGTTGCTGCCCCTCTCCCCGCGCCCCCCCCTTTGCACATCTCATCAGGCGGGGCACGTGGCACGACCCTGGGCAGGCTACACGGGGCCCCCTCTCTAGGGGCAGGGGGCGGGCCCTCTGCTTGTGGGACAGACAGATGGGACAAGGCGCCTTGCCCCTCAGAGAGAAGGCCATAAGTCCAGCTCACAAAAGGAGAACACCCACCCCAGCAGGAGGGGTCAGAGAAGATGCCCTGCCACCCACAGGGCGAGGGACAGGGCCACTTCACTGGGCGGGGTGCTTCCCCCACAAGGCCCCAGTCCCCCACCTGCCAGCTGGGGTGCTGAGGAGGAGACAGACAGCCCAGGGTGTCTGGAGAGCCAGCAGGGCAGGGAAAGTGGCCCAGGGCGTGGCTCAGAGAAGCAGGAAGTCACTGCACCCTTGTGGTGTGTGTCATCCCGAAGCCCAGCTGTTGGAAAGTCGTGCTTCTATGAGCAAAGGGAGAACCAAGGGAACTAAGGTCCCTTATCCCCTTATTTGAGCACTCCCTCCCATCAGATCCGCCAGCCTCGCAGCCCGCAGCACCAATGGGATGCAGGCACACCTTCTTGGCCGGGTGGATCCCCTGGATGCTCCTGATGCCCGGAGGGCCAGCTGAGTGCACGTGGGCCCCGCCTGGCAGGTGCTGCGGCTGCGGGAGGGCCCCCTTGGTCAGCGTCACCTTTCGGGCAGGCTGCTGTCTCACTTCTGGGGGCTGGGGGGGCCTCTGGGGCTGGCCGTCCGGGTGAAAAAAGCCATCGCTCTCTCCTCCCTGCTGAAAGGAACAAGGCAGCAGACTGGTCAGTGTCTGCTTGGCCCGACACCCTGCCCACCACATCAGTGAGTGTTCAACTGAGAGGCAAACCATCCAACCCCATAACACAGAACCTGTCTTGGCACTAGAGCCACTGGGAAATGTCTCACCTGACCGTGTCTGGGTTGAATAACACCCTCAAAATGAAAACACTGAACACCCAGACCGCCCACGCCAGAGGTCTGTAATTCAAGTCAATGCTGCTTAGTTCATGGAACAGCGCTGAACTTGAAACACACTTCGTACTCCATGTATGTTTTCCACTTGCACGAGTATGCAATGTTCAAACCACAAGAGAGTGTGTAAGTGCTGGTTTTAACTCTTCCCTGCGACTCTGCCCTGTGGCATGCAGGCCACCATGTTCTTGCTCCCCTGGCTGCATTGATAAACCCTGGGGCGTGGCCAGCCCCTCCTTCCTCAGATACGACTGTGCGGACTCTGGGCACAGGGCTTACAGGCTGGAGAGTGCCGTCACCCCCTTCTGCCAAGTCACGAGTGCCACCAGCAGCCATGGCTCTGTGATTTCAGAAGGGAACTCACGCACTGCAGTAAGAGCTTCCCAAGCACCAGAAATCTTGCCCTTTGCATTTCATTAATGTCCCCTCATGTCATGACCTCACACACCATTCGTTACATGTTCAGAAAGCAAGTGCACATCAAACTGCACCACTGACCTCAGGACACCGAGGGCAGCACACGGACCCTCAGGCTATGCCCGCCAGGCTCCAGCAGGGTCGGGGTGGCAGAGACCAGCCAGGAAGGACGAGTGGGCACCAGACAGCCAGACCTTGCCCAGCCAAGTTACATGATCTCAACAGAGACAGACCACTCTCTGCGCTGACACACCCAGGGACACAGCGACCAGGGGTCAGGAACCCTTCCCCATGCAGACTGCTCAGCTCTGCAGCGCCTTCCAGGAGGAGCTTGGTGACTTGGCCCAGAGGCAGCCCATGTAGGTTGTCTGTTCCCCCCTGAACGTCTCTCTTGGAGACAGTTTAATGAAACACAGGCAAGGAACAGGGGCTGGAGCAAGAAGGGTATAGGTAAGACTATTGCAAAAACTGCCCCAACTAATGGGACCTAAGAAAACAATGAGATTGAACAGTCACACAGAAGGGGAGACTTGTGGCCATGGAAGCATGGGGAGATAGGCAAAGCCACCCCTTCATGAGTGTGCAACTCAACAAAACTGTCCAAAACAAGCATTTCAGGACGCAGGACACAGAACCGAGAGTGCAGTGCACGCAGGGCAGCGAGGCAGGGCCCTCAGGGGGCTGGTGAAAGGGCTGTCAGTGGAGGCAGCCCGCTGGGTGATGGGGGACTGGGAAGGCCCACAGAGCTGACAGCCTTTGGCCAGAAATCTGAGAACCAACCACAGTGAGGAAATCCTGGCAATGGGAGAGCTACCGAGGGCCTAGCTCAGCCCCCCCGTGTGGGGCCTTGGGGCTGGCAGGAGAGAAGAGCCTGGGGATGGTGAGTGCAGCTCCAACCGCCAGCCAGGGACCTGACCCAAGTCCTCCTGAGGGGCTGATTGACCGCTAAGCTACACGGCAAAGGGTCAACCCCTGGGAAACCAGGCTGTGAAAGAAGAACAAATACTTTGACCTAAATGAAAATGAAAATACAACATATCAAAACCCAGGGGATGCAACTACAGCACTTATACCAGAAAGGAAAAGACATGTAAAATCAGTAACTTGGGCTTTTATCTAAAGAAGCTGGGGGGGGGGGGGCGGGGAGAAGAAAATAAACAGATCACAGTGGAAGACAATGACATAGTAAACAGAAAAATCAATGAAACCAAAAGTTGGATTTTTGAGACCAACAAAATTAATGACCCTTTAACTAAACTAAGAAAACAGGACTTCCCCAATGACCGAAATCAGAAACAGGAAAGAGGTGATCAGAATTGGTGCTACAAGATTAACAGGGGTATTATGAACTACTTTATACCAACAAATTAGACAATCTAAAAAAAAACAACAAACTCCATAAAAGATGCAAGATAACAAAATTGATCCAAGAAGAGACAAAGATGCCCCAGAAAGAAAAAGCCAGGTCCAAATGGATTCGGATTCGGTGATTAACTCTCTCGACTACTTCATGAAGGATGACCGCCAGTCTTACACAACCTTTCCAGAAAGCAGAGAAGGAAGGAAACCCCCCCTCAACCCTGAGGCTGGTGTCACCCTGATCCCATAGCCAGAAAAAGCCATCAGAGGAGGAGAAAGCCACAAAAGAACACACCATGTAGACACACACAGGAAGAGAAACCACACCAGTACCTCCGCGAACTGACACCACAGCACGGAAAAAGGACCACACCCCACAACCACGGAAGACACACCCTAGGGCAGCAAGGCCGGGGCAGCACTGGAAAGAGGGTCAGCTGGGCCAAGCTCGTTCCCCGAGAGTGGGGCTGGGACCAGTCCTGCCAGGACAGGCAGCGCTCATCAGGACAGCAGCCAGACGGGACGGTGAGGGGGGGGGGGCGGCGCGGGCGCTGCAGTGGCCCCAACCAAGGACTTCTCCTGAGAGCTCCCTTCACACTGAGGGTGCAGGGCTGAGTGCTGTCTCCTGAGCCCATTCCCACCCCAATCACCTGGCACCCCATGCACCTGGACAACTGCACACACCCGTCACCAGGGCAGCTTTCCCACACCAGTGACCCTGGGCCGCCGGGTCAGAAGCTCTGCAGCAGGACCCAGACCCAGCTGCTCTAAAGCTTGTCAGCAACGCCAGAAACAGGTGGGCCCCACGGAGTTCTGTGACTCCACCCGAGCGACGTGCACTACTGCTGCCCTCAGATACACTCTGGCTGCAAGTCAGCACCACCGGTGGAGGAACCCCCCGTCCCGACCGCAGTGAAGGCAGGCCCCTGTGGGGGGAGGGGGTCCACGTGAGCAGGCTGCTGGCAGGTGCACCTGGAACTTCCCCCAAGACCTTTCATCGGAGGTGTGGTGGGTTCCCCAGTCGGGCAGTGACGACTTGTGCTAAGAGCACAATTATTCAATGGCTGTAACATTTTCTACGCCAAAAAGTTAAACATTTTTAAGGATATGTACAACAGGTCCCCATCTTCCTTAAGAGCCAGTGATCCATCACACAGTAATTTATCTACAATCCTGCTGAGATTATGTTCGCACAACACTCATAAACGCACAACGTCCGTGTGAGGTCACACGGTTCTGAAACCTTCTCTCCCCCCCATGGGCTGACATGTCACTGCAGCCCCAGGCCCGAGGCTCCCCCCACAGCCTGCTGACTGCTCTCCAGTGCCCAGGCTCCCCAGCCGTGCCTGCACCCTCAGCTCTCTGGGGGAGCCTCCCATTTTATGGGGCTCCCTGGACTCACCTGACGAGGTGAGAGTTCAAGGCCACCTGGCACCCCATGCTATCTCCTAAACGTCTTCAGAAACCTGTTGTGCAGACCCTGGTTGGTCTGTTTTGCTCGCCAAGCTAACCCCCAGCAGACACACAGGCAGCGCGAGGCTGCGAGGCTGTCTGAGCACCAGCACGCAGAGCACACTGGACGTGGAGGGGCGCCATGTGTGCCAGCAGAGTCCCAGTGAGCCAGGGCTCGAGGTCGGACCTGGGCAGGCCCAGGAGGGATGGAAACCACCAGGCAAGAGAATGGCACCGTGGGAAGCTGCCTGAAGACCCTGCTCAGGAAGATTAGGGTCTGTCCGGCACAACAGGATGCAGCCTGCACCCGGCAACCAGCTCTAGCCCATCAGACTCTAATACTCCAACCGCAGGCTTTTTTGCACATTAAAAACCCTGATCTAAAGAACAACCGACTGAGTCCTAACATCCCTTGGTTGGCCCGCTTTCCCTCCTATTTCCCGCTAACAAACCCTGCTCTCCTTATATCAGTTTCTTGATCAATACTGACCTAAAACCCAAGGGCACAGGCTGTGCCAACGGGCACACTCGCGCCCGCTACACGTTGGGCCAAGACCACGAAGGCTGGCCTCTGGGCACACCCCAGTTCCACGCTGCCCTGTGGAGACAGGCCCATGAGCGGGCACGGGCGGCCTGAAGGAAGGAGTCCACGTGGACTGTGGACTGGAGCCAGAAGGCAGGTGCCCTGGAAAGCCAACTGCCACTTACACAGAAGGGCCTGCTGTTGGCCTATCTGAAGGTATTCAGAGAGCACAGGTAGGGTGATAAATGTACAACACCAATGACTTTTCAACTGGGAACTGAGAACATATATATTTAGTCAATGAACACCCCCCCAAAATTTTCTTCATCAGTATTTTGAATAACTGTGATCATTTACATCTGACCATATTCATGTCAGATATGAATCCTAAAAAAAGAAGTTCTAAACTTTTATTTTCCTTTCAAGAAAAGTTCACTCTTTCATACAGGTGTGATCCCCATTTGGAGTTCAGAAATAGAAGATAAGAGAACTTCTGGCCAAGATGGAAGTGTAGGCAGACACACACTGCCTCCTCACAAGACCGAAAGGACAATAAAAAATTTAAGAACAAAAAACCACCAGAATTGCCAGAAAACCGAACTGTATGGAAGTCCAACAAGCAAGAAATTAAAGAAGAAACACCCATCCAGACGGGAGGAGGGGTGGAGACGGGCAGCAGGCGCAGAACACTCGCAGCGAGGCAGCAGCTGGAGGACCAGGCCGTCCCACAGTCACACACACATAAACCGGGAGGAACAACTGGGGAGCGAGACAGACTGCACGACCCAGAGCTCCACCTCAGGGAAATAAAGCCTCAAAACCTCTGACTGAAAACGCCTTTGGGGGTTGAGGCAGCAGGAGAAACTCCCCGCCTCACAGGAGAATCCGCTAGAGAGACCCATCTCACGGGGTCCTAGAATGTACAAAAAAACCACCCACCCAGGAATCAGTTTGCTTGTGGGAAGCAGGGAAAGTGACTGAAATTCAGCCAAGAGCGGAGCAAGGGGCACTGCTCCCTCTGGGACCGTCCCCAA